CCGGTATAATTTCCGAAGGCGTCAATACCATGAGTGGCAGGTGGCTGAATTTTACGGAGACTTGCCATGGCCTCCAACCCTCCTCCTTTCTCAACCGGGCTTGGGACCGGCCATGGCGGAGTTCTCAATAAATTCTCTCACAACATCAAAATACTAAGATTACAAGAGCTGTAGTAATCTATTTCGTCGTTTAAGAGGGTCTCAACCTATTCACTCTATCCTGAACTCTGTTTAATCCATCTATTCTACGCCTTCTTGCTCACTTCGTCGATGATGATTGCTGCGTACCAGGACCGTCGATTTGTTGGAAATTGAATAGAAAGATAGTGAGGATGATACGCAAAAATAGAAATTGCCAACTTTCTGAATGTAACACGTTGGGAATGAACGAAACACGTAAAGAGCATTTCTATTTCAGAAGGATGTAATTATGCAACGTTTTGGGGAATCCAGGTAATTTGATTTTAGCATACAACAAAAATGAGATGCACATATGCCAATTCGTTCTAAATTGTAGTAGGATAGGAGGGATAGGTTTTCAAAAATACTCATAAAACATTGACCGATTAAAAATCTGTGTTACATTAGATTATCTAATGCAATCTAGCAGCCTTTTTGGCATAGCTGCTTTATTGGTGAAGTACTTCACAGATACTTCTGATGTCGCAGTCTACTGACGTCGAATCCAAATTAAGGTACGGAAAAATTTCAACCATATATGTTTCTACACTGCAGCTTCAATAGGCGCTCTGTTTTCGTCGAAGCCGAATGGGGAAAACACCAGTAGGCAGACTGTTAAATGACAATTATTTGATACAGAAGTGTTCAAAAAATGTTTTGCGCAAACAAACGATTGCGTCTTCAATAGTTAGAGCGACATTTAAAATAACGCGATATTTCTACTGTGGGGTGTTTGCTTCCAATTCTACCGCCGTAAAAGATTGCATGAAAGCGGGCTCTGGCTCGTTGATTAACGTGTCATATAAATATTCAGTTTGGTTTCCATGGTCGCTTCTCCTTTCGGATCGCGGTCATATGGACATGCACGTATGTACTTTTCGCTTTAAGATAATTCAATTCTCATGGTTACAACGAATGCATATACAAATCCAAAAATAAATTTAACTGACAGCAGTTACATCGATGTTTAAATGGGATAATTTGTCCAATCAATGGTAAATCATGCTGCACATAAAATGAAAATGTTCATTCGTTCAAGCATTAACTTCACATCAGCAGAGAACAGCACTTTTTTAAAATATAATAGATACATTTCAATTAAAGTAAAATAAACTAAAATCACAGGCGTGGTGACCGAAAGCTTTGTAGAATTTCAGTGATTTTTCTTACAAATTTATTACTTCCGTTAACATACAAATCTACTGATTTTAGTATAACAGAACGTATATTTGCAGCACTGTCGAAGTTCAGCGCATTTACAATGCGGAAAGCGAGCCATATCGTTTCGGTTGCGTTTTACCTGTGTAAATTTAGTATTTTGATATACTGCACTAACAACGAAATACACCTTAAGTGCCACGAAATTAAGATTGATTGTTGTGTTATTGTGTTACAGTATATGTTATTACAGTGCCATGAAATTAAGATTGATTGTTGGGTGTTTATGCCATATTCTTGATACTGTAATTTGCATACTATCGTCTGATGGGTTGTTGCAGTTGGCGATGTGATTTTTTTTTCGTTTTTTAGCATGCAATATTTTTTTTGGAACTTTTTATCAAAAATTTTTAAGTTGGTGATGCTTATGAAATTTATGACTTCATGATGTATATGATACCTTGTTGTCTCTTACTTAAAAGAGAGTGACTCCAATGTGCGTGTGCATTTGTCACGTCCCGTTTGCCGCAAACGTGTTTGAAAAGCGATGGGCTGATGATAGAAGCGATTTTGGACGATGCTCGTCGCGGAATATTGGATATACTCATTGTGAGGAAGTTGATTTCTTATGGTATTGACTCTGTACTGATGATTCTTTATTTCTGTTTGCACGGTCAGAAAAACCGCGTGACCTTGATGACCGACAGTTAAATGCTAAGCTTCGCAAGCACCGTACTGTCCTGATATCCATTCGTTGCTGACCAGACTTAGACCGCTAGATCCTGCATTTGCTTTAGGTTCCTGGAAGTTTTGGTAAATACGTCTGGACGTTGTTAATTCACTTTTAATGAAGAGGCGAGCTTTTGTTGTTAAGCGTATTCTTAACCTAAACAAAGGTTACCTGTTATGAATCCCTACCGGTAGTCAAGCAGGAGATGCTAATTTTAGTATGATGTATATTTTAAAGCCATTAAGAAGCATCTATTTAAAACAAGGATACGAGAAGTTGAGTTCTGTAATGTAATTGCCGGAGTGATGATGATATGGCAATGAGCGGGACACTTAAAAAGCAGACTTAGAAAACCTTCCAGATGTATATTAGGCTGAGTTCCAAGAAAGAGCAAATTGATCATGTGAATTACTCCAGTTTGATGCCAAAAAGAGCTGAAGAAGTTGATTGTGTCAATATAAATTGCAGAGAACAAAATTCGTGGCAAAGTTTTGCAGAAGCCTTCATCCAGCAGTATATCAGAAATAACATGAAGAAAATTCAACCCCGCGCTGGATTCGAACCTGTATTCTAAACGGCAAAGCTTGGATGCATTGCGCTCCTTTTCCTTTCTAACAAGTCCTAAAGTGTTTTCCTAATTGAACACAAGTGGAACTGTGTATTGTGGATGTCATGACTCATGCACAAACGGTGTTATAGTTTTCCGATGCTCTACTTTAACCCCATAATTGCGAAATCCGTTTCCACAAAGCACAGAATGTTTCTTGAGGATGTTCTTATTCTTTCGTGTTGCTAGTCAGAATTTGTGGATGTATGTGGAGCATGATAGAAGTATGAGTTCCAACGATGTTTTATTATTCGCCTGTTAGTTTCTATCTCATCTACTGCTGAATCTTATGCCCACTGTGTTAAAGATTATGAGTAGCTCCTTGAATGAAGAAAACCAAAGACGGTATTTTCATCAAGCATCCCAGTATTCTAACGCACTGTTTTCATATAGCTCATGAATGGCCATGACCTGCTGAAATGCGCAGCAAAATTTGTTGTCGCGAGCTCATCCCCTTTCCCTAAAGATGAGCGAAAAAGCTCCATGTTGCTCCGATGGCGAAAATTATATCTTCACTTTGTAAGCGCTATCCTAAATTTGAACCGTCTGCTCGTCAGTTGTCTGAACGCAAAATAATATTTCTCATTGTCATAAGCACATGCTGACTTCAGAACTGTCGACAACTTCTATTTTTCACTTGATCGATCGACCATCGGTTTAATTCCTGTGATTTTTGTGAAACAACAAACGTGTAGTTAAACTTACCCCGTGTAGTCGCGGCAAAATGTGCGAATAAACTTTAAATTGATATGCAGTAGATAAATAAGTCCTTGATTTTAGTTTCTCTCAGAACCAGCCGTTTCGCTGTTTCGTTTCTTTGGTCTTTCCGATGTTACGTTTGGCCAGAAAAAAGCTATGAACATTTGTACATAAAACGCAGTGACTTCTTGGATGGCTGAAAACGTTAAGAGTTGTACGAAGCAGCTACAGCTTTATTTGAGTTTTGTTCTGAACTAATCTTTTTTATCTTCAGGTTATGGTCACCTGGCTGAAATCACTAAGGCCTACGTTAAGTGCCTGAGCTGAAACTTATTTTACGTAGGTACGTGTTATATAAAGAACTCTCATTGTTCAGAGATATATGCATTGGAAGTGTGCTTTTAAAATTCGAGGTACCTATGATTTATTTGATCGTACGAGATCTCAGTTTTTGCGTTTAACATTTCATCGTTTGTGTAGCAAGGGTCCATACTAAGCACTTGAGAAACCCAAGAAATTTTTTGAACTATTTTCTACTAGTATTCAGTTTCAGAGATATTTGGTCAAGTGTTTTGTAAGAATTAACTAGGTTCCAGCTCATCCTGTAATCGAAAAATACAGCCAGCATACAGAAAAGGGAGTATAACTTTATACAGATAAAACATTTCAGAAAATAGTCGCTTCAGGTTAGGAGTCCATTATCCATGGCTTGAACCACGTTCATCAGTCTTCGAACTGCCAAAGGCTAATAAGTGCTCTCGCTTGGAAAGTCACTGAATTTCTGACCTATTTGTAGAACGGATTCAAAAATAGGCGGCAAACTGGTTCTACGAACCATCTAGTCACTATACGTTGATATCAGCTTCTGCGTCAACAGACTAAAATGGCATCAATTCGAGACTTTTCCGCGTTGACAGTGGTCTTGAGTAAGGTTGCTTTCTGTCCCCTCAGATTTTGTGTTGTACACTGACAGAACAGTCAGACGCAGCCTGACAAAGAAATTTTCAGTGTAGAAGATGTGGAGACGAGAACCAAACATTC